GTCTCAGAGGAGTCAGGCTCAGAGGTTGTTTTCTGGACCTCTGGAAGTTGGGCATCCTTTTGACATTGCATGCAAGTCTGCAGATCTGTCATTTTGGTGAGGAGAAACTGAAATTGGTTCTTCATATCGGAATTTATCGCCATAAGTTTGTCTTCCAGGTTTTCCTGAATCGCTAAAAGTTGGGCATCCAATCTGGCTTTCATGGATATCTCCTGATCTCTTAAATCTGTGTGCACTTCCTTTAGTTGGGTCTTCAGTTCGGAATTCGAGGCCAAAAGTAGATCTTCCGTCACATTCAGTCTCATCTCCAAGTCGTCTTTTGTAAATGTCCTTTGCAAGGAGTCCAGAAGAGGTTTCTGCTGGTCCTCCAGATTCGTCTGCAAATAATTCAGTTGGTTTTTCAAATCGGTCATAAGTTTTTACTTCGTCTCGCTGAGAGTTGCTCCGAACTCTTCCTTCGTGGTGATGTCCTTTAAGGAATTCTGCATAGTGATCCGCTGGGCCTCCACCGTCGATTGAACTGCCAGGAGTTTCATCTGGATGGCCTGCTGCTCTCGGTGGATCCTTTGCAATTTGGAATTGGTCTCGGGGATCAAATCCATCATCGGATGGAGTTTGGCAAGGCAGAAATCTCCACAATGAATGGGAACATCCGAACGGAGTTCCTATTGTCCTGAGAGTAGGAAAATGATCCTTGCACATTCAGGATAATAAAGGCCAACACAGAAAAGGATGCCAGCTTAAGCATTTCGAATAATTAGGTACACTAGAGGTGAACTTTTAACTCGTACTGAAAATAAGCTGCTTTCTTAAAAGTAAAGAAACCTTAAATATTGCTGATGAGCGGAAATGGCCTTCCGAAAACTATGTTTTTTCCCAACTGTCAACAAGTTTTTTCCCAAAGATAAGGAATTTTGATAATGTTTCTCTTAATGAGTGGTCCGATTTTTAAAAATTTCTTCTACACTATGATAAATATTAATAAGCACAACCAAATTGCATTTATAATTCTTTGCGATCTTTTAAGATGTGGGCGCCACCTTTAGAGAGGGTGTGGGGCACTCTAATAAAACAAGCTGCATAGGATCCCCAAGATCCCAGCTTTCTAGCTTTTAATAGTTTCCGAAATCTCAGCGTTCATACGGACAGACAGAAAGAGAGACAGACAAAGAGACGGATATGGCCAGATCGACTCGGCTGGTGTCCTGATCAATAACATACATATATACTTTATTGGTACGGAAACGCGTCCTTCTTACTCTTAAATCCTTCATCTACCCATTTAAAAACGGCAGCAGGCTTCCCGGAAGCCTTTGCCATGTTCCTTCTTGATGACAGTCCAGTACCGTTCCTCTTGGGTTTTGAAAGGCGCCAAATAGCCGGAAACGTTAGGAATTGGCGGTTAAAGAAGTTGGATATCAAAAACATGCGTCAGCAATGGTTAAGAACTATAATCTCGTTAGTCAAAGTCAACATTTTGCAAAAGGGAAATTCTCAGAAAATGACCTCATTTGTAATTTTAATTTTAAAGTCCGTTTAAAAAAAACAATTGGTAAATCTAACCAATGTAATAGTCAAACCCTTCCCAACCATCGAACGGTCAGTTTTAACCATCAAATAGTTACTCTGAGAACAACAAAATAGGCACAAATTACTATTTTATGGTGGCCTTATTATTAGTAGGGTTAATAGTAGTTAAATAGTAACAAAAACGAAAACCAATTATACGTAAATTTTTTGAACAATAAAAAACTATTATTTATTGTTACGTAACTATCCGAACAGGTAACATTTTTTGTGTGTACACCCCCTATACAACATATACTGCCTTTGGGGCCCTCAATAAGTAACTGAAATTAAAAGTGGAATGAACTGCTTATGGGCGGTGCCTTTTTAAAATACATATTTATACCCCTTCAGAACTAGTATGATTTCAATGACAAGGAACGCAGAGAAGAACGTTTCAAACCACAAAAAGTTTATGTTTATACCCGTTACTCGTAGAGTAAAAGGGTATATTATATTCGTGTAAAAGTATGTAACAGCTAGAAGGAAGCATTTCCGACTCTATAAAGTATATATATTCTTTTCTATTCTAGCCGAGTCGATCTAGCCGTGTCCGTCTGACTGTCTGTCCGCCCGTATAAGCGCTGAGATCTCGGAAACTACAAAAGCTAGAAGGTTGGGATTTTCCACACATATTCTTGGCCTTCCTACTTCAATTGGATACTTCCTTTCCACTTCACTATTTATGGTGAAGATATGATATTAATTTACAAATCGCAAACATGTTAAATTTCCTATTATTTCTCATTAATATTCCGATCGTTCCTATGGCAGGTATATGATATAGTAGTTCGATTTTGATAGTTTGAATAGTTATATCCCAGAGTAGAAGAGAATACAATAAAAACCAAAGAAGCAGAAGAAACTATGGCAGCTATATGATATAGTCGTCCGATTTTGATAATCTTAATTCGAAATTCATAATTAGATAAAAAATGGTGTTTTCAAAACTACAGGTTTATATGTTGAAAAACACTCAAGATATAATATTTTACATGTTCTCGTTTCGAATTATATACTACCTGCAAAAAAAAAAAGACTTTTGGAGAGAGACTAGTTTGCGTAGAAACGGATGGACAGACGGACGGACATGGCTAGATCGAATCGTCTAGTGTTCCTGTGTTGCTGATCAAGAATATATATACTTTATGGGGTCGGAAAAGCCTCCTTCTCTGCGTTGCAAACTTCTAATTCGAAATTCAACATTTTGTAATTTTCAATTTAATATGAATGGTGTATAGCTAGGCCGAAGCTAGCTTCCTTTGTTTTCAACATGATTTATCCCCAGTTTAATGTTGTTTGATGCTTACCATTTCACTAGTGTGACAATAACAAATAAGAAATTTAAATAATTATAATTTTATTGATACAAGAAGAATTTTTATTTAACACTTTATGCAACCTTTGAAATTTTATATATATTAATAATTTGCATTTTGAAAGAAATATGAAGCTTACAACTTAGATTGCGTCTATTTCTGTTTCATTATCTAATTGGCAAATAAAATGATTGGTATTACTACAAAGGTAATCATCCATCCCCTTGTTATCTATCATAACGCATGCACCGGCATTGTTTGGCTCTCCGATGGGCCACCACTTAAGAGCCATATCAGACTTTCCAGAGGCAGTAGAAACGAACTTGCCATCTTCCTTCTTAACGCCAGTCCAGTAATATTTGCTTTCCTGAAGTGTCGCCAATATGGCTGTAAGTTCCTCTTCGGTTTTAAAAGCTGCCAAATAGCCGCCCATTTTACGACATGTTTCTGCAGCGTCGTTCCAGGATTTTGTTAAATAATGTTCGAAATGAAAATATCTAGATCCAACTAGCTGGAACCTAGGATCGATGGCAGTGGGTTTGACTGTGGTGGTTTCGAGGAGGGTTTTCTGAACGTCCAATTGTTGGTCCTTCAGCGTCGAAATATTGTTTTCAGTTGTACTTTGAAGCTCCTCAGGTTGGTCTTCTATTTCGGTCTCAGTCATCGGCTGTTGTTCCTCAGTGCTGCTTAGTTCCGTCTCAGAGGAGTCAGGCTCAGAGGTTTTCTGAACGTCTAATTGTTGGTTCTCCAGCGTCGAAAGATTGTTTTCAGTTGTACTTTGAAGCTCCTCAGGTTGGTCTTCTATTTCGGTCTCAGTCATCGGCTGTTGTTCCTCAGTGCTGCTTAGTTTCGTCTCAGAGGAGTCAGGCTCAGAGGTTGTTTTCTGGACCTCTGGAAGTTGGGCATCCTTTTGACATTGCATGCATGTCTGCAGATCTGTCATTTTGGTGAGGAGAAACTGAAATTGGTTCTTCATATCGGAATTTATCGCCATAAGTTTGTCTTCCAGCTTTTCCTGAATCGCTAAAAGTTGGGCATCCAGTCTGGCTTTCATGGATATCTCCTGATTTCTTAAATCTGTGTGCATTTCCTTTAGTTCGGTCTTCAGTTCGGAGTTCGAGGCCAAAAGTTGATCTTCCGTCACATTCAGTCTCATCTCCAAGTCGTGTTTTGTGAATGTCCTTTGCAAGGAGTCCAGAAGAGGTTTCTGCTGGTCCTCCAGATTCGTCTGCAGATTCTGCAGTTGGTTTTTTAAATCGATCATCACGAAATCGAACTCTTCCTTCGTGGAAATGTCCTTTAAGGAATTCTGCATAGTGATCCGCTGAGCCTCCACCGTCGATTGAAATGCCAGGAGTTTCATCTGGATGGCCTGCTGCTCTCGGTGGATTCTTTCCAATTTGGATTTGGTCTCGGGGATCAAATCCATCATCGGACGGAGTTTGGCAAGGCAGAAGTGTCCACAATGAATGAGAGCATCCTGCGGAAGTCGAACGGAGTTCCGATTGTCCTGAGAGTAGGAAAATGATCCTTGCACATTCAGGATAATAAAGGCCAACACAGAAAAGGATGCCAGCTTAAGCATTTCGAATAATTAGGTACACTAGAGGTGAACTTTTAACTCGTACTGAAAATAAGCTGCTTTCTTAAAAGTAAAGAAACCTTAAATATTGCTGATGAGCGGAAATGGCCTTCCGAAAACTATGTTTTTTCCCAACTGTCAACAAGTTTTTTCCCAAAGATAAGGAATTTTGATAATGTTTCTCTTAATGAGTGGTCCGATTTTAAAAATTTCTTCTACACTATGATAAATATTAATAAGCACAACCAAATTGCATTTATAATTCTTTGCGATCTTTTAAGATGTGGGCGCCACCTTTAGAGAGGGTGTGGCACTCTAATAAAACAAGCTGCATAGGATCCCCAAGATCCCAGCTTTCTAGCTTTTATAGTTTCCGAAATCTCAGCGTTCATACGGACAGACAGAAAGAGAGACAGACAAAGAGACGGATATGGCCAGATCGACTCGGCTGGTGTCCTGATCAATAACATACATATATACTTTATTGGTACGGAAACGCGTCCTTCTTACTCTTAAATCCTTCATCTACCCATTTAAAAACGGCAGCAGGCTTCCCGGAAGCCTTTGCCATGTTCCTTCTTGATGACAGTCCAGTACCGTTCCTCTTGGGTTTTGAAAGGCGCCAAATAGCCGGAAACCTTAGGAATTGGCGGTTAAAGAAGTTGGATATCAAAAACATGCGTCAGCAATGGTTAGAACTATAATCTCGTTAGTCAAAGTCAACATTTTGCAAAAGGGAAATTCTCAGAAAATGACCTCATTTGTAATTTTAATTTTAAAGTCCGTTTAAAAAAAAAACAATTGGTAAATCTAACCAATGTAATAGTCAAACCCTTCCCAACCATCGAACGGTCAGTTTTAACCATCAAATAGTTACTCTGAGAACAACAAAATAGGCACAAATTACTATTTTATGGTGGCCTTATTATTAGTAGGGTTAATAGTAGTTAAATAGTAACAAAAACGAAAACCAATTATACGTAAATTTTTTGAACAATAAAAAACTATTATTTATTGTTACGTAACTATCCGAACAGGTAACATTTTTTGTGTGTACACCCCCTATACAACATATACTGCCTTTGGGGCCCTCAATAAGTAACTGAAATTAAAAGTGGAATGAACTGCTTATGGGCGGTGCCTTTTTTACATACATATTTATACCCCTTCAGAACTAGTATGATTTCAATGACAAGGAACGCAGAGAAGAACGTTTCAAACCACAAAAAGTTTATGTTTATACCCGTTACTCGTAGAGTAAAAGGGTATATTATATTCGTGTAAAAGTATGTAACAGCTAGAAGGAAGCATTTCCGACTCTATAAAGTATATATATTCTTTTCTATTCTAGCCGAGTCAATCTAGCCATGTCCGTCTGACTGTCTGTCCGCCCGTATAAGCGCTGAGATCTCGGAAACTACAAAAGCTAGAAGGTTGGGATTTCCCACACATATTCTTGGCCTTCCTACTTCAATTGGATACTTCCTTTCCACTTCACTATTTATGGTGAAGATATGATATTAATTTACAATTCGCAAACATGTTAAATTTCCTATTATTGCTCATTAATATTCCGATCGTTCCTATGGCAGGTATATGATATAGTAGTTCGATTTTGATAGTTTGAATAGTTATATCCCAGAGTAGAAGAGAATACAATAAAAACCAAAGAAGCAGAAGAAACTATGGCAGCTATATGATATAGTCGTCCGATTTTGATAATACTTAATTCGAAATTCATAATTAGATAAAAAATGGTGTTTTCAAAACTACAGGTTTATATGTTGAAAAACACTCAAGATATAATATTTTACATGTTCTCGTTTCGAATTATATACTACCTGCAAAAAAAAAAACTTTGACTTTTGGCCCGAACTAAAGAGAGACTAGTTTGCGTAGAAACGGATGGACAGACGGACGGACATGGCTAGATCGAATCGTCTAGTGTTCCTGTGTTGCTGATCAAGAATATATATACTTTATGGGGTCGGAAAAGCCTCCTTCTCTGCGTTGCAAACTTCTAATTCAAAATTCAACATTTTGTAATTTTCAATTTAATATGAATGGTGTATAGCTAGGCCGAAGCTAGCTTCCTTTGTTTTCAACATGATTTATCCCCAGTTTAATGTTGTTTGATGCTTACCATTTCACTAGTGTGACAATAACAAATAAGAAATTTAAATAATTATAATTTTATTGATACAAGAAGAATTTTTATTTAACACTTTATGCAACCTTTGAAATTTTATATATATTAATAATTTGCATTTTGAAAGAAATATGAAGCTTACAACTTAGATTGCGTCTATTTCTGTTTCATTATCTAATTGACAAATAAAATGATTGGTATTACTACAAAGGTAATCATCCATCCCCTTCTTATCTAGCATAACGCATGCACCGGCATTGTTGGGCTCTCCGCTGGGCCACTTAAGAGCCATATCCGACATCCCAGAGGCAGTAGAAACGAACTTGCCATCTTCCTTCTTAACGCCAGTCCAGTAATATTTGCTTCTATGAAGTTTCGCCATTACGGTTGTAAGTTCCTCTTCGTTTTCGAAAGCTGCCAAATCGCCACCCATCTCACGACATGCTTCTGCAGCGTCATTCCAGGATTTTGTTAAATAATGTTCGAAATGAAAATATCTAGATCCAATTAGCTGGAACTTAGGATCGATGGCAGTGGATTTCTGGTCCTCTAGCACAAGGGCATCCTTTTGAGATTGCATGGATGTCTGCTGATCTCTCACATCGGGGAAGAGCCATGGAAATAGGGTTATCTTATCGGAATTTATCGCCATAAAGCCTTCCAGCTTTTCCTGAATCTCTAAAAGTTGGGCATCCAGTTTGGTTTTCATCGATATCTCCTGATCTCTTAAATCTGTGCGCATTTCCTTTAGTTCGGTCTTAAGTTCGGAGTTCGAGGCCAAAAGTTGATCTTCCGTCACATTCAGTCTCATCTCCAAGTCGTCTTTTGTGAATGTCCTTTGCAGGGAGTCCAGAAGAGGTTTCTGCTGGTCCTTCAGATTCGCCAGTATATACTGCAGAAGGTTTTTCAAATCGGTCATAAGTTTTTCCTTCGTCTCGCTGAGGGTCGCTCCGAACTCTTCCTTCGTGGTGATGTCCTTCAAGGAATTCCGCTGGGCCTTCACCGTCGACTGAACGGCCAGGAGTTGCATCTTGATGGACTGCTGCTCGCTGTGGATCGTTTCCAATTTGGAATTCATCGCGAGTATCAAATCCATCATCGGCTGGAGTTTGGCAAGGCAGAAATCTCCACAATGAATGGGAGCATCCTGCGGAAGTCGAACGGAGTTCCGATTGTCCTGAGAGTTGGCCAATGATCCTTGCACGTTCAGGATAATAAAGGCCAACACAGAAAAGGATGCCAGCTTAAGCATTTCGAATAATTATGTGCACTCGAGGGGAACTTTTAACTCGGACTGAAAATAAGCAGCTTTCTTAAAAATGAAGAAACCTAAAATATTGCTGATGAGCGGACATGGTCTTCCGAAAACTACGTGGACCAATGTCGTTCAAGTTTTTTCCCAAAACATGAAAGATTAGGAATTTCGATAGAGTGCTTTTGGATTTTCCATTCTAAGAGCTAATCTGCACAGGCCTGTTTGTTCGCCAAAATTTATAAAAGTTCAAATGTAGAAGTATATATACTCTTACAGATCGTATCTATAAAATGTATAAATTAATCTCAGAAATATTACAAAAATTTGGATTGTATCGAAATCAACGATTTTTGGCACGAAGGAATGTTTGCGATTATCGATGCCCGGTACGTACTTGCGCCTGATTACTGCATTGCAAACTTCTGACTGAAATCATAATAGCCTCTGCAAGGGTATACAAAGACAGACGGACATGACTATATCGACTCGGCTAGTGACCCTGATCAAGAATATTTATACTTTATAGGGTCGGAAACGCTTCCTTTTCCCTAATTCATACTTTTACACGAATACAATATACCCTTTTACTTTACGAGTAACGGGCATAACTAGTGACGATCGCACCTTTAACATACAAAAGTTCTGATATAATCATTTCTGACGAATATTTATTATACGATTTATTACTTTACAGGCATTTTGCATACAGCGTGCCGAATAAGGTATACAAGCTTAAGCTTTAGAAGCTATAGCTATGTAAAATAGTGAATAAACAAGCAAATGATCTTAGTGATTAATGTACTTCAGCCCTTCCTATAATCTAGAAAGTCGCCATAAAATTTACGGTAACTTTTTCTAAATTTTAAGAAATTTCCTGAATTAAAAAAAATGTTTTCTTGAAAACAGAAAAGTAGAATTAGAAAATCACCATAGATTTAAGAAAAACTTTTTGTATTTCTTTTATGCTTCTCGTTCTTTCTTCGAAACGAAAAAGAAGAAGACAGGGGGTTAGTCGGCGGCGCGTTGCGACGACAGTTTTTGGCGTATGTGTGTATATGCTTATGTGTGTTTGTGCGTATGATCGAGAATTTTCTTGTGCGTAGCTGTAACTTTTATTGCGTTGTTTTGGAAATGCAGTCTCTCGCGAGAGAGTTGCTTGCGTTGCGCTGCATCTTGAACCCTTGTGCTTAGTTTTGGATGAGCATTCAAAGTAATAAGTTTGTGTTGAGCCTATTTAAGAAAGTTAAAGTGCGATCCCTCTAAGAGGCAATTAATAGGTAAGCAATTTAAATAAATTTAAATATAAATTTGGTAAGTGTGTGAAAAGTTATGGTAAGCAAAGGGCATACTATTTTAATAGATTTGGCTATTAATAATATTGCAGGCCGCAAATACCATCCTTCTCTAATATTAATTTTTATTTTCGATTGCAGGAATAATTTCAATTTCAGGTATTGTTGATAATTTGGCAGTAAGTAAGTAAATTTTAATAACAGGTAATATATTAAATACCAACTTAATATAAATATTAATAATTTTTTATCTTTTTTGTTTTCTTTTCTCTTTTTTGTTTAGGAAATATTTATAATGTTATTTTTATCTTTTTTTGTTTTCTTTTCTCTTTTTCTTTGGGAAATATTTATTATCCTATTTTTATCTTTTTTGTTTTGTTTTCCCTTTTGTTTAGGAAATATTAATAATTTTCTTTTCATCTTTTTTATTTTCTTTTCTCTTTCTTGTTTAGGAAATAAAATAGTAAAATAAATATGTATACATTTTATTAAAATAAAGACAATTTTCTGAAAATAAAAAAGTCCTTTCTTATTTTAAGAAAAAAAATTCTATTTTCAAGAAAAGTACTTTCTGGATTTTAGGAAATTTTCTCAATGTTATGGCAATTTTTCTTGATTTTAGAAAAATATTTCTGCTTTTCACAAATTTTTAAATTTAGAAAATTCCTTTCTAAAAAATACGGTAAATTGCCATCGACTGAAATTCATGGCGAATTTCTTGATTTAATGGTGATTTCGGGCTGTTTTTTTTTTGAGTGTAGTGATTAATCAAAGATCAGGGTTTATCAGTGTTCTATATGATTAGACAAATGAATCATTCTTCGCTGGAAATGTGTACTTCAAGCATCGACTGAGTTTAACGATTAATAGCTCAACTCTAAAGTATATATATTCTTGATCAAGATCACTAGCTGAGTCTATCTAGCCATGTCCATCTGTCTGTCTGTCTGTCCGTATAAGCGCTCAGATCTCGGAAACTACAAAAGCTAGAAGGTTGGGATTTCCCACACATATTCTTGGCCTTCCTAGCTTCGGCCAGCCGAAGCTTGTATACCCTTCCAGATCATTCCTATTAATTTACAAATCGCAAACATGTTAAATTTCCTATTATTTCTCATTAATTTTCCGATCGTTCCTATGGCAGGTATATGATATAGTAGTTCGATTTTGATAGTTTGAATAGTTATATCCCATAGTAGAAGAGAATACAAAAAAACCAAAGAAGCAATAATTTATTTCCTATTATATTCCCATTAGTTTTCCGATCGTTCCTGTGGCAGCTATATGATATAGTCGTCCGATTTTGGTAAAACTTAATTCGAAATTCATAAGATAAAATATGGTATTTACAAAAATAGGAGTTTATATGTTGAAAAACACCCAAGATATAATATTTTATATTTTCTCGTTTCGACTTATATACTACCTGCAAAAAAAAATAAGACTTTTGGTAAAGTTTTAGCCCGATAGCTTTAAAGCTGAGAGACTAGTTTGCGTAGAAACGGATGGACAGACGGACAGACATAGCTAGATCGAATCGTTTAGTGTTCCTGTGTTGCTGATCAAGAATATATATACTTTATGGGGTCGGTAAAGCCTCCTTCTCTGCGTTGCAAACTTCTTATTCAAAATTCAATTTTTTGTAATTTGCAATTTAATATGAATGCTATATAGCTAGGCCGAATCTAGCTTCCTTTCTTGTTTTCAACATGTTTTATTCCCAGTTTAATTTTGTTTGATGCTCACCATTTCACTAGTGTGACAATAACAAATAAGAAATTTAAATAATTATAATTTTATTGATACAAGAAGAATTTTTATTTAACACTTTATGCAACCTTTGAAATTTTATATATATTAATTATTTGTGAGTGCTAACGCATTTTGAAAGAAATATGAAGCTTACAACTTAGATTGCGTCTATTTGTATTTCATTATCTAATTGACAAATAAAATGATTGGTATTACTACAAAGGTAATCATCCATCCCCTTCTTATCTAGCATAACGCATGCACCGGCATTGTTTGGCTCTCCGCTGGGCCACTTAAGAGCCATATCCGACATCCCAGAGGCAGTAGAAACGAACTTGCCATCTTCCTTCTTAACGCCAGTCCAGTAATATTTGCTTCTATGAAGTTTCGCCATTACGGTTGTAAGTTCCTCTTCGTTTTCGAAAGCTGCCAAATTGCCGCCCATCTCACGACATGCTTCTGCAGCGTCATTCCAGGATTTTGTTAAATAATGTTCGAAATGAAAATATCTAGATCCAATTAGCTGGAACTTAGGATCGATGGCAGTGGATTTCTGGTCCTCTAGCACAAGGGCATCCTTTTGAGATTGCATGGATGTCTGCTGATCTCTCACATCGGGGAAGAGCCATGGAAATAGGGTTATCTTATCGGAATTTATCGCCATAAAGCCTTCCAGCTTTTCCTGAATCTCTAAAAGTTGGGCATCCAGTTTGGTTTTCATCGATATCTCCTGATCTCTTAAATCTGTGCGCATTTCCTTTAGTTCGGTCTTAAGTTCGGAGTTCGAGGCCAAAAGTTGATCTTCCGTCACATTCAGTCTCATCTCCAAGTCGTCTTTTGTGAATGTCCTTTGCAGGGAGTCCAGAAGAGGTTTCTGCTGGTCCTTCAGATTCGCCAGTATATACTGCAGAAGGTTTTTCAAATCGGTCATAAGTTTTTCCTTCGTCTCGCTGAGGGTCGCTCCGAACTCTTCCTTCGTGGTGATGTCCTTCAAGGAATTCCGCTGGGCCTTCACCGTCGACTGAACGGCCAGGAGTTGCATCTTGATGGACTGCTGCTCGCTGTGGATCGTTTCCAATTTGGAATTCATCGCGAGTATCAAATCCATCATCGGCTGGAGTTTGGCAAGGCAGAAATCTCCACAATGAATGGGAGCATCCTGCGGAAGTCGAACGGAGTTCCGATTGTCCTGAGAGTTGGCCAATGATCCTTGCACGTTCAGGATAATAAAGGCCAACACAGAAAAGGATGCCAGCTTAAGCATTTCGAATAATTATGTGCACTCGAGGGGAACTTTTAACTCGGACTGAAAATAAGCAGCTTTCTTAAAAATGAAGAAACCTAAAATATTGCTGATGAGCGGACATGGTCTTCCGAAAACTACGTGGACCAATGTCGTTCAAGTTTTTTCCCAAAACATGAAAGATTAGGAATTTCGATAGAGTGCTTTTGGATTTTCCATTCTAAGAGCTAATCTGCACAGGCCTGTTTGTTCGCCAAAATTTATAAAAGTTCAAATGTAGAAGTATATATACTCTTACAGATCGTATCTATAAAATGTATAAATTAATCTCAGAAATATTACAAAAATTTGGATTGTATCGAAATCAACGATTTTTGGCACGAAGGAATGTTTGCGATTATCGATGCCCGGTACGTACTTGCGCCTGATTACTGCATTGCAAACTTCTGACTGAAATCATAATAGCCTCTGCAAGGGTATACAAAGACAGACGGACATGACTATATCGACTCGGCTAGTGACCCTGATCAAGAATATTTATACTTTATAGGGTCGGAAACGCTTCCTTTTCCCTAATTCATACTTTTACACGAATACAATATACCCTTTTACTTTACGAGTAACGGGCATAACTAGTGACGATCGCACCTTTAACATACAAAAGTTCTGATATAATCATTTCTGACGAATATTTATTATACGATTTATTA